AAATTAATAAATTAAGTTGTTTTATGCATTCAAATAATTAGACATGCTAAAAAACTGAATTTGGTAACAATAAATAATATGGTGAGAAAAAATAAAACATTTCATAGGGTCCTAAACACATAATTTTTGTAAAACTTTTAATAAATTGATGTGAAAATGTATAAGTTTAATGAATTTAATTAATTAGACATGCTTTTTAATTAATACAATTTAATTTAACTATTAAAAGGATTCGAGAAAAATTTAAATGGAAAAAACGAAATTTGGAAAAAAATAAAACGGAATTTAGGAAAAAATAAACTGATTTCATAGGGCCCTAACTATCCCTCAGCCTTGCCGTGCGCCCCCCCCCCCCCAGTTTGGCAACCACTGCTTTATTCTTTCAAATTGATATATTAATCATGTTTATTTTTTATTTTATTAAAGTGGAAATCAGTTTACTAAATAATGTAAACTTGACTGACTGCTTCACTTCCACTTTAAAGGGATATTTATGTTGTTTATTATTTTTTTATTTATACTATTTATAATTTTTCTGCAATTACTTGCCTGTCAGTTGAGTTTGTGGCAAAACATTTTGCAGTGTTTACATGTTGTTTATTACTGCATAAAATTTATTAAAATAGATGTTTAATTTCATAAAGTACAAGTTGATTTCACAATGCACCTACTTTTTTGCATTTTGTGTTTTTCAGTTGAATAAAAGACAATTTTTCCCTATACATTTCATCATTGAGGATTTATTTTAAAAAGTCTAAAAATCTTGTCTCGTCTCGTTCTCATGAACCCAGTCTCATGTCTCGTCTCGTGGGATAAGTGTCTCGTCACTGGTTTAAGGAAAAACGTTATCATTTCACCCAAAATTTGTGTGCTATGAACTATGACTGCACTTAATAGTGTATTGCTTTATTAGCTTAGAGCTAATGTAAAACTCATTTGTGATCATTAATCAGGTCTCTCTTTTCAGGCAGGAAGCTTCATTTGTGGACTACACACCTCACTATATTTTGGAATAGAGCTGTTGTTATCTGTTTTTGCCAGACATTACTTCTGACCTTAGCTTGTCTTTCAAGCATAATCTTGCCTGATAGAGACATAAAGGGTTGAAGGGTGTTTTAGAGCAGATCTTGGTGTGGGAATTTCAGGATGTGAGGAAAGATCAGATGCAAAGGTCACCGCTCCCTGACACACAAACAAACACACACACACAAACACTGTTTCTGTCCCTAAAAGATGCTAACAGTTCTGTTTCACCCTGTTCTAAGAGAAAGGATTAAATTTAGATCAACAGCGCATTTCATTAGGAATATAAAATCCTGCAGTATTAGGGAGGGTAACTCACATGGAACAGTATCAATTTTATTACTAGCTTTAGCATCTCAAAGACAGTTACTAAACTCAATTCAGCATAAAGGGTATTTTTTCTTTTGTTCCTTGAACTTTTGATTCGTGAAACATTCTTAAAAATGTAAAACTTTTTAACTGCTATTTTCTTCTTTTTTTCTAAATTAAGAATACAAGTTACCAATATTTTGTATTCCACAAAAAAAAAATCTTAATGTTTTTTTTTCGTTTTTTTCTTAAGATTCTCAAAAAAGGCCTTTGGGGTGTTTTTCACTGAGTGGGACTTTGGCAACAACTGTCATACAATATAACAGCAAATAATTTTCCTTAAGAATTTTTCAAGAAGTTTAACTTAAATTAGATACATTCTAATTCTTAAGAAATTTCTTAAATTCTTCCTTAAGATGATTTCATGAATCCAGCCCCTGACCCATAACTGTCACATGACTATACAGTACCTCGAGGTACAAAAACTTTGTTTGCCACAGGTTTGATATAAATGGTGACAATGACTAATTCCAAGTCTGTTAGGAAGTACAGGCCTATTTCTCTACTTCCACAATTTTCCAAAATTCTAGAAAAATTATTTAATAATAGATTAGACAAATTTTTAGATAGACAAATTCATTTCTGACAGTCAATACAGATTCAGATCAAACAGTTCCACATCAATGGCATTAATTGATTTGATTGAAGAAATTATAAAAGCTATAGATCATAAGCAGTTTGCAGTTGGAGTTCTCATTGACCTTAAAAAAGCTTTTGACACAATTGATCATAATTTATTAATTAATAAACTGGAATGGTTCTGTACTAGGTAGTACTAGACTGGGTAAAAACTTATTTAAGAGACAGAAAACAGTTTGTGAAGTTCGGAGAATATTCATCTTTGTGCTTGAGAATTGGTTGTGGCATCCCCCAGGGGTCAGTACTGGGTCCAAAGTTATTTTTGCTTTATATAAATGATAACTGTAAAGTATCAAAAATAGTCAAATTAGTTTTGTTCGCAGATACAAATATTTTATGTTCTAGGGGGACTTTAAAAGTGTTATTAAAGACTATTACTTTCAAAATGAGTAAATTAAAAAGGTGGTTTGAAAATAATAAATTATCATTAAATGTTTTTTGGAAATACTAAAAAGAGTACACAAGTTCAGATACAGAACAGATAGATGGTGTGGACATAGAAAGGGTAAATGAAAATAAATTTCTTGGGGTGATAGATGATCAATTCAGTTGGAAATCTCACATAAACGATGTACATAATAAATTGTCTAGAAGTATCTCAGTACTGAATAAGGCAAAGCATGTGCTGGACCACAAATCACTGTACATTCTTTACAGTGCATTAATATTACCATATTTAAATTATTGCTCACAGGTTAGGGGTAATACATATAAATGTAGATTATCATCATTATCTATGTTGCAAAAAAGAGCAATACGGATAATTCACAAAACTGATTATAGAGATCACACGAATTCACTATTTTTAAAATCAAATATATTAAAATTCATTGATTTGGTTCATTTTCAAACAGCACAAATTATGTATAAAGCAAAAAATAATTCACTCCCTGGTAATATTCAAAAACTGTTTCTTAATGGAGAAGAGAGATATAATCTAAGGCGAGAGTGTAATTTTAAGCATCTTTATGTTCGTACAAAATCAAGAGTGTATTAAGACAAGGATGAGAAGACAGAATCATGAAGTTAATTTGATGATTATTGTTATTGATTATTATTATCAATGCGGAGTGGAGAAGGGGTAGGATTACATAAGCTTATGCTTCTTTTGACTCCTTTTTGGACATTAAGTTAAAATTGTTTTGTATTTTGTTGTATTGTTTTGGTTTTGTTTTTACTATATTTATTTTACTTGTTCGAAATAAAATTTTAAATCAAATCAAATCAAATTAAGTCTAACTCTAATAACCAAGTTATTTTTTCACCAACAATTATGGTTATTGTGATGATGGGAATAGGATGCCAGTTAAAAATAATAGCACTTCCATGAGGTCTGTTAGCATGTACAGTAGAGACAGCAAAAAGGATGATGGTGTATTTAAAAGAGGACGGATCTCAGAACGGGGTGTTGAGCAACATGCCTGTCCTTAAACAGGTGGCTCTCAGTGTGATGCTCCCCAGCCCACACCAAACACGACTTATGACTCACTGATCCCATATTAAAACTGTTCCTGCTGGTTCACATGTCCATTTGTGCAGCCTCTTAAGACATGCAGTGCATGTGAGGCTATGGAGTAACGCCTGGCGTTGAAAACTCAGCCCACACGGTTAGTCATAATAAGCAACAGCCGAACTGTTAACAATGAGTATTTTGTAATAAGTTATGCTCACTGATAAGCCCATGTGACTGTGCTAACTAATGGATGAGACATCAGCTAAATATGTGTGTGTGTGAGCAGAGCTGGAAGGATAAAGTTTAATTACAATTACAATTAAGAGGACTATTGATACTGATATCATGGTGGCAGGTGGCAAGGCAGCATTACAAGTCTGTGCCCTACTTAATAATAGGGTGGGCTGGCACACAGATGGACTGGCATTCTGTCAGGTAGCTTCACTATTACACCAGAACAGTGACTGATTTGTGCAGCATAAATCCACTCAGGCATTAAAAGTTCACCAATTAGCACAGATCCATTAACGTGAGCAATGACGAGTTGGAGAGGATTCAGGCTGACGGCTCCAAAAAAAACTGCATTTCAAAATGTCATTTAAAAAAAAAAAAGGATCTCAAAAGTGACTCTCCAAGCAAATCCAAAACTGCATTGCTAGAATTGCTTTGGAAAACTAAAAAAATCTGTTTCAAAGACCCAATAATAATTCAGTATACTATTCAGATTAAATATGTTTTTAAACAATGTTTTTAGTCAAATTAGTTATTAATTGGGACGCAGAATATTAAAATTCTGGCTGATACGGATAAGTTGATAATCATTTTCATATAAAAAATGTACACAATTTTATCTAAACAAATTAGAAATAAAAACAAAAATTAGTAATTTTAAAATGCTAGAAATGAATTTAGATATCACAACATTATAATGTACAGTATAAAAAAAAATTATATTCATTTTGAGATCTAACAGGAGTTTTCAAACAATAAAAAGCTAGATTATGGTAAATGTAAAAATAGGGGAAATGGTTATGAATAATTCAACCTACATATATATATATATATATATATATATATATATATATGTCCACTGTATATATATATATATATATATCTCTGTATACTGTATATAGTACGATCAATTTTAATATATTCCACTATATTGTGCATCCCTATTATTAACATATGACGTCTGACATTTCATGTACAGATTCAGACAGGACTTGGTTGTCCCTTTTTAATTTTTTTATTGATTTAATTCTCTTTTCAAATTGGATGGGCTGAACCACCATCCATTTTACACAGAAAGCTGGTTAAAAAGGTCTAAATCCAAGGACAATACTGTAACTATAACTTTCTCGTCGTGCTGACTGGCAGCTTTAGTTATGGCTTTTAATGAAAGGTCAAAAAAATGAGAAGTTGTGAGGGGGAAAAAATAATAATATCCCACAAAATACAGACATTGCCATCCGAATGGAATACATCAGGGTTAAGTAAAAGTTTGGAAGGGGCTCACCAGTGAGGTTGGTACGGGCGCTGTAGGAGCCCAGGTAGCGGCTGTCGGTGTTGGGAGTGTAGCACTCATACATGCCCTGATCGGTTGCCTGGAGCTTGGTGATGTGCAGCAAGACAGAGTCTCCGCCCAGCCTCTCAATGTAGATCTCCTTGCTGTTGACGCGCTGGGCGTACAAGGCGTAGGCGTAGTTGTGCTGGGACGTGCTCACAATACGGATCTCTCGATCGGGAGCGGTGTAAAGGTACATGGACCATTCAAAGTCTTGCTCCACCCCTTCCTTGTAGCCGGTCACATTACACCAGATGGTGATGTGAGAGCCTTCCGTTCGAATCAAGGGCCCCGGCTGAACTGTGACCTGCCGCTGGGCCGAGCATGAGCTCACTGTAAGAAAGACAGAATGAGGGGTTAGTAGTGGTCAAAAATGTGAGGATATTCAATATAAACATCTCAATATTTAGATTTTTTTACTTAAATGATTTAAAATGGTGTTTTTATCAGGTGAACCATCATTACCAGTCAAAAGGTATTTCCCAATAATCTAGTTAGAATCTTGATAAAATGTCCACTCCTGCCTGATAAGAAAACCTTCAAGCTTTTGAGTGCTTGAAATGTGTGTGTGTGTGTGTGTGTGTGTGTGTGTAGTTTGCAGTGTGTGAAGAGCCGTTGGCTCTTCAAGAAATCAAGTGGCCTTCAGCCAAGAGACCCATTACACACTAAACACAGTCACTCAATAGAATCACCCTTTAAGAAACACACTGTGTGTCTGCTGCACTGTAAATGCTACAATTAACAAACAAATAAAGGTCAAAATGCCAACAAATCATAATGAGTTTATGTAAACACACTCAGCTCAAGTCTCACATATAAAAATAAACACACTTACCAAGAGATGTGCCTAAACAGAAACAGACCTAAGACCTAAATTAAGTGTTCATTAGGTATGTTTGGATTGGGAAACAATGTGGAAAATAATGCTGTCAAATTGGACAGATTATGAAATGTAAAATCTTTTCTCCATGCAAGCGGATAAAGAAATTAGTCGACTGATTACTGAAACTAAAGATTGTCTCATTTACGAAAAAAAAAAAAAAACTAGCCTCCTTAGGAAACAAGCAATACACAGGCATGAAGACAAATCACATTATAAAGTTTTAACAGCATTTTGGTGCAGATGAGTGACTGGTAGCAAAATATGAATAGCAGATGCGGAACATTCACTAGAAAAGGCAATCTGGACATTTTAACTCAATTTAATGGGTTTCATGTGTGAAAGTGCCAATTATTTATCTTTATGTGTGTCTGAAGTTGTCATTTTCCTGTTAAATTATGCTATGCTAGGTTTATATTCTTGAATATTTGGAGAATATATCTGGAAAATGCACATTTGCTCATGATGATTTGTATATTATATTCCATTCCTTCACAGTTAAATGACTCTGTTAAAGGCCTTATTTACCTGTAAATACATGCCTTGTTTAACGTATAAATATTTGAATATAATAATAATAAAAATAAGCACCTACTGTACATTGGCAACAAAAAAACAGCCTCTGACAGTTTAAACATTTAAAAATGTTGGCATTATTAGAGAACTGTTGGTAGTTCAAGTTTACATTTATATATAATATATATATTTTCTGCTGGCCAGCCGCGTCGGGATTCCAAAGGAAATCCTGACTGACATGGGTACCCCCTTCATGTCCCGGGTCATGGCGGACCTCTGTCACCTCCTCAAGGTCCGACAGTTGAGGACGCCGGTCTACCACCCGCAGACGGATGGCCTGGTGGAGCGGTTTAACCAGACGCTCAAACGGATGCCGAAGCGGGTGGTGCGCCGAAGATGGGCGTGACTGGGACCTCATGATCCCGTACGTGCTCTTTGGAGTCCGGGAAGTACCACAGGCCTCCACAGGCTTCACCCCCTTCGAACTGCTGTTTGGGAGACAGCCCAGGGGCCTTCTAGATGTGGCTCGGGAAGC